ACAATAAAATATCTTGGGGTAATTTTTGATCATTGGTTATCATAAGACACTCATCGAATACGATACCAAGCGAACGAACTTAATTGTTCATTCTTTCTCAAAGTTTCAAGGGCTACTTGGGGAGTTACGTCGGATGCTATGGATATAATATACGATTAAATTTATATTTCTTCTATAACTTACGCTTGTAAGAGTTGGGGCTAGGCAACCTTTAATGCCCACCCAGCAAAGAAAACTGACCTCCGCTCAAAACAGACCTCGCAAGAGCTCACAGAACAGCACCAAATAATAGTCTACCTATTATTGCTCGTAAGCTGCTAATAGAGTTTATTATTGAGTTTTACTTAGTATATTAGAACGATAAATGGTGGAAATGACAATGGAAACAGCTACATTTATGCCAGCCACCTTGGAGAAAATTTCCTTTTAACTCTCCATTTACACTAGCTTTGAAAAACTCAATACTAACGACTTTTTGTAGCCTCATTTAAGAGATCGCCATGATATATTTGAATGTTAGCTAAGAAAAGAAAAGCTATTCGTAAAAAAATGTTTTCTTTATGAAAAAGATTTATTGAAAATTATACATTTGAAACATTTTTATATGCGCAATCTATTATTGAATGTTTTCTTTATGTAGCTGATTTTACTCATGCGGCTGTGACACTTGTGCACACAGCCACATAAGTAAAATTTATAATTTTCATGATGTTTTAGACGAAGGAAATTTGAAAATCTTTCAGAACATAAAGTCTCACGACAGAATATAGACTTTTTCTCCACCAGGATTTGCTTATGTTCTAAACTTACATGCTTGTTAGTAAGATTTCCTTTTGAGGAAAAGTGCTTATCGCAATAACAACAAGTATAGTATTTTCTGATGTATCCAACGCAATATTCTCCATAACGATTTCTTAGCAACGTAGCAGGAATTCTTCTAAACTAATTATCGATGATGAAGTGTGGTTTTAAAGCCAAAATATCGACAAAAAATTCTAAGCACACCGTATAGTACGAGGTACGACTATACCCTACCTGAACGTCCCAATATACCGGCATCTCGTGGTAAAATCCATAACTATGTCTACGTATTAGCCGTAGTTCTATAATTAGCCGACAGTCTTATCTGGTCTTCAAACCATTATAAGATTTACTGGATGAATTGACAAACTTTGTCTTTGCTTGCTCGCTTACTTGTGCGCCATTGGCGTGTGGTTGGGAGTCAGATACGTTTGCTATTTCGTCCTGTGTTTTCATATTTTTTAGATTTGGAAAGTCCATGATTGGTTGGCGTTGGTGGTGCGTCAGTTGCAGGACGATAAGTTTTTAGTATGGATACTTAGAAGGCGTTTATCCTGGTATAGGCGCAAATGATATCTATTAAGATTTGAATACATGCTAAAGGTGGCCGCAGTGCTAAATACTCGCTAATGGTTTTAATGTAATGATTGTTGGAGACGGAAGTGTGTATGATGGAAATTCGAGCGGTATCAAAAGGATACCGCTCGAATCACCGTCAGGCCTCCAAGCTATTTTTTGCCCAGGGCCTTGCATGTACCAAAGACAGGACTGCATTATACATATATATATAATACGTTATAATTTACAAATTATTTTGTTCTTAACCAATCCCTTTAAGAATGTCAAAATAATTTGTTTGAAATCAATCGTAAAAGATTTGAAATAAGAATTTGCAACCTCTAATAAATGTAAAAAACAGAAAAAGTGTAAAGGGTGATCGACGAGCAGCCTTATCAGACACCTGCGTAAAAAGCATAATGTTGACAAATTATCTGTTATTTGTATTAAGCGCATAGCTGAATAAACTAGACCAACTTCTAGCAATCGACCTACCTCTTAATAAACCTTTATATTGTTTTTTATTAACAAAGAAACGTGTAAAAAAAATCGTAACTAAACTTGCGAGTTTAAATGACACCTCTATGAACTCTCTTACAAAATGTGAGTTCATCAAAAAATCGTTGACAGACAGAGATACACTTTACTAAATAACTTATTATATGTAATAAATTTCGTCCATTCGCATTAGAAACAAATAAAAAAAGGATTATGTTCCGAAATTGGCAGCCAAATAAATTCACGATCAAGATTTAGTTTATTTTTGGATGAATATACTTTATAGTACTAAACAATTGCCGATAGTTAATTCTTAACTTATACAAAAGTGACGGAACATTTTGGAAATTAAAAATGGTAAAGATTTCTAATGTATTATTGCAGAAACTGCTATCCATGTAATCAAAGACAAATTAAAAGAATTTCGCATGTATTTACAAAATAACGTGGTGGCTTTGTTTCTAATGGTGCATGCAGATGTAATGGTAAAATTTGGAAGGCTAATTGAATGTGAGCATCAATTAGGGGAGTGCGGGGCAACTTCCGCATCGGGGCAAGTTTGTCAGGCGCTTTTTTCAAAAAACAAATTAAAAGGAAACTTTGGTTATAGGTTAGGCAGTTGAGTTTTATTGGTGGCTTGTTGAGTGTAGTGTTTTTATTGTTCTCCAACAAGCGTAGTTGAATTATCAAGCAAATTTTCATTTTCGTTCAATTCCATATAATATTTTTTTNAAATGCCATCTCCATCAACTCTATTACAAAATGTGAGTTCACCAGAAAATCATTGAGAGACAGAGATACACTTTACAAAAGAATCCATTATATGTAATAAATCTTGTCCATTCGCATTAGAAACAAATATAAGAACGATTATATTCTAAAATTGGTAACCAAATAAATGCAGGATCAAGGTTTAGTTTATCGATTAATAAATATACTTTACTAAACAATCGCAAATATTTAAGTATTAACACGCACAAAAGTAACGGACCATTTTGAAACTTAAAATTGGTAAAGATTTCTAATGTCGTATGTGCAGAAACTGCTGTCTAAGCAATCAAAGAAAAGTCAAAGGAATTTCACATACGTTTGGAAAATTACACAGTGGCTTGTGTTTCTGATGGTGCAGCTGTAATGGTGAAATTTGTAAGGCTAATTGAATGTGACTATCAATTATATTATGCACAGAGAATTCCCTTAGCGGTATGTGATGTTAATTACCACTTCACAACAGTCTCGGATGAAATTCAAAAAAAAAGATGAAAAGCGCAATGATGACATTCAGGAAGACGAAGACTTTGATTATAGTATTAATCTCAAAAGTGTTTTGTGTGAGCGTTTGGCTGAAGGTTCATTCGATATAGATATTTCATTTGAATTGCTCGACACTCTAGGTAAAGAAATCGTCTTTTCTCAAATCATCAATAAGCTTAGAAAAATAACAAAATTTTTCGCAAAAGTAATATCTCACAAGAATACTTTCAACAGGAACGTGGGAAAAGTTTGCAGTTATTTCTTGATTCCAAAACTCTATGGAATAGTTTTGTAGACATAGTAAAACGATTTATTATAATTAGATCATCATATCGAAAGCAATCATTGACTGTAATAAAGATACTGACAATATTGATCTCGACAAAGAAGAAGACGCTGTAATTTCTGACATCGTGGCATCGCTGCAGTCATTAAAAGTTGAAACAGAAAAGCTAGACAACAGATGATCGACTTTACTTTCATCGGAAGGTATTGTAAATAAATTAAATCAACTAACTACGCCCTTTTAAAAAAAGCTAAAAGAGTCATTTATTAGACACTTGTCAGAAAGAAGTAATACGAAACTGTCTTGCCTCACGCAATATCTGAATAATGAAAAGAATTATGAAAAAGTTGCAACATTCGCAAGTGATGAAAGTTTGCCAGTTCAAGTGTATGTTAATTTTATAAGCGAAACAGATGTTAGATCGCTTTTTTGAGTACCTCCATATTGTATGTGCAGTGATAATGATGAAGAACCAAGTGTCGCAAGATTATCTGCAATGCCTTTAGCTGAAAAGCTTCATGACCCTATTATTACTATTATTATTATTATGGAGGTCGCGGTATGTATTAAATTACTTAAAAACAGAAAAAAGTTCATTATTCGATTTGAAAATTTGTTTTATATCTTAAAAATAATTAATTATATCCCAAAACAGATTATATTTTACTCGAAATACCAGAAACAGATCACATTATTCTCGAAATATCCAGACAAGCTAACAATCAGGAAATCCGAGAAATCCTAACCTATGAGATGTGCTGAGCGAAATATCGATTTGCAGTAAAGAGATGTTTTGAGCTTACGCAGACGTCACGAAAATGGACAATAATTTTCTACTTAATCTTAAATATGAATCATATGAGTAAATATTACTGAGAATTACAGCAATAATGTTGAGAAAATCGATAAGAACGCAAGGATACATTTATTATTCTATTAATATTTCCACCAGTGACCGAGTGGATGATACCATTTATACTTATAATTAATCGCAGGTTTATAGGCAACAAATAATATATTCATGTGGAGTTTTTTTATAGGTTTTCATTACGTTTTTATCATAGACATATTGACAGTTTTCCAAAGAAAGTCCTCTGGAGAAGCACTATCTTTGGAAGATCACCCAAATAGTCTGTTGTCTTATTCTATCAAGCCAATTAAGTCAATTATAATTAACACAAAAATCAAATTTCGTAACGAATTGTACATGTCGAATAGAACTTTTATATAACCCATGATATTCGATAGAGTTTATGCTTTCAAGAATAATCGTTAAATTTAAAGGGGAATTGTGCAACTCGTGATGGCTATAAATTTAAAAATCAATATCGTATACCTATTGTAGAATCGTATACTTTTATGAATATAAAATTAAATACAGGACAATTTTATTCTTGATTAAATTATTAAACTCAAATTCTCTTAAAAGTATATCGGAAAATCTACACACGTGTGCAATTCACTATAAACGTGCTCCATCATTCTCATCGATGTTTCGATTTATGAGTGATTACGAAACATCCGACTGTTAGAACTTTAATAACACGAATCATTCGGAATCTTGCATTTATTAGAACATTCATTTCAAACTATTCAGCAAGCCATGCCAGAGCATTTACAAGAGCGCTGTTGCACTGGCATCGTACTTCCTTTCCTTGCTAGTGGGAAAGTACTTGGATTCGATTTTGTGGCGCCTTGCCAATGCACACAAGAAGATAAAGTAAGAACCAATCGTGGTTTATCTCTGGCATTCAAAATTTACATCACATTCATCGAAGTATATCTATGGACTGTGGCCTTCCTTTTCGCATTACGTATCTACGACCTGAATCTCTATTGCTTACGATCAATTCAAAGATATGGCGACTACGCACGTGCTGCAGCAGTAACCGTATGGTGTACTTCTTTGTATATTGCTGCACAATTCAGTATCCTTAAGAGAAAAAAAATTACCATCCATTCTCCAAAGAGCTGCTATGATTCCGAAAAGTATGTGATACGTAACGTCCATAAGTCAGCTCCGTTATTGCTGTTATCGTTGTTGGCACCACTCGTAATAATTACGCCAATTGGATCAGTTTACATGTATGCTGAAATTCAAAAATACGAAAATGCAGATACCGAAGCATTTGTCTGCGCTGTGGCACACGTAATTTGGCTATTCTATTTGGCAGGGCAAATCGTGGTTTACCTGATGATCAACGGAATCATTCTATACGTCATCGGTATGAGATTGGTAAATCTGTCAGAGGAAATGGCGGCGTTGCACGTGAGAAGAAATTCTCTGAAAAAGATCTTGCAAGAAATTTTCCACAAGCATTTCGAGCTGTGGCAGATAATCGAAAGCTACAACGACGAATGGAGCGACCTTAAACCTATTCTCTATGTTCACTTCGTCTATGTTTCTAGTTTCATTCTTTATGCCACGTTATTTGTAATAAATGGAGCCAAGCTGAAAATAATATTTACATTAATTTCTATAATATACGTGGGCAGCTTTGTTACAAACAGTTACTTGTTGTCGATTTTCACGAGAATGGTAAGTAAAAATATACGATAATCAATACGTTGTTTTGTCAAATACTTTACATTGTAATTAACTTTACACTTATTATAAACTATACAAAATAATATTAAACTAGATATAAACACGCTTTAAAAAGGTTTTGTGATATTTTCTGTATATACAAAGTAGCTAGTCAAAGCATACTTTTCAACAATAATACACAAAATCGTACTCAAGAAAGCTTTAAATAAGATTACTTTGATAGAAATAAGCAAAGTAAAACATTTGTGATCTGGAAAAAAAGACTTTAAATGAAAAACCGGCCACAATTTAATAGTTAAACGCGTGCATGAAATACAGAAGCGTTCACATGCCTAGATTCCGTTATCCAGGTGCACATTACGCGATTAACTAGCTGTTTTTAATAGTTTTAGATCTAGTATACTTGTAGGCGTTCAGCAAATTTAAGATATAGAAACAAACAAAAACATTCAGCAACGTGTTGCGTCTTTATTCCAAATATTATGAAAATTTTCGTAAAAATAACTTTTATATTATTAACCATAAGTAATACAATTATGTGTGGCTCTATCTGTTACTAAATTTCACGTTAAATAACAAATGACAAAAACCTTAATTTTCACATTAGTGATGAGTTTAATAACGATTATAAATGCTAATAATGTGTGAAATCTTTATCAAATCTAACTCCTGTTGAGATATAATACATGGCCGCTTTATCTCCCTACTTCTTTGACCTGTAACCGCCAAAATTTAATTGCAGTAATGACCCGTTTACACAAGCTACTGTGTAAAATTTAGTCTGTGTAATCTTTAGCCCATCGTGAAACACCGAATGAAATACACGTCAACACACACACACATATGCACATACATTTTTTAAAAATTTAGTTTATTTCGAGTTCAGAAGGTTTGAAAAATACTGGAAAGCTGACGTTTGACAATAATCTTATATTTACTATTTTTACGTATACACAACAAAAGCAGCATTTATGTAGTGCCAAGTTCTAAGTTTGAGTGCTAACCGTTTGGTATAATGAGTTAGATTAACACATAAAATCATAGATTGTTACCTGTATTAATAAGTGTTGATAATGTTTTACTTGATTTGTTTTTCAGTCTTAAATAGCGATTAATTTTATTAATGAAAGTTGAACTACAAATACTTTTATTTGATTTCAGTTGTATGACAATTTTACTTGGATTGAGAGACTTTCGCCCGCTGATCTGTCTTTAACTTTCAAGTTGAAGGTAAGTTTCCATTTTTGTTTTAATAATAATAAATTATTTCTTCTACGAAACTTTGAAGTAAGTTTTTATATAAGTACATTTATAATATTACGTACAAGTCGACCCCCCTATAACACTGTTGATAATTCCGTTTTATATGAATTCCATGTTGTACGAGTCACTTAGCGTTTACAAATACGTGAGTCGTTCACAGCCCGGAACACGTATTTGTAAAATCTAAGTGACTCTTATAACATGGAATTCGTGTAAAACGGAATTATCAACAGTGTTATAGGGGGTCGACTGTGTTTTACCGATACGCGCATTTTTTGAATTAATGTAACAAGAGAAAAGTTCCGCGAAATGTAAAATATTTTGACGTGCTAAACTGTTTATTTTTGTTTTGTTTTCATCAGCAACATTCGCTGAACTTTGCAGCACGTTAAATTCGATACGTGTAGAGAGTTTGGTGTTGTTCTGACACTTCTACTAAAAATACAGACGTATTTTGAAATATGACATAATATTGAGCGATTGTGAAAACATACGATAAAAGAAAAATTGTTCAAGAAACATGAGGCAAACACCTCATGAATGGAGGCACACTTTATTCTTCATTACCTTTCTTACAATTCATTAAAAGGTTACAAGTTTATACTGTAGGGTATAATGGTAATGTCTAGCGGGTTTTTGCCCAATTATCTGCGCAAAGTTACGCTATAGTTAAGGTTAAGTTCGTAATTTTTCTTTACAAAGTTGAAGTTTTATTTTTCAATAATAGAATAACGCATAAAAATTTAAGATAACATCGTTTCTTCATGTTTATAGAAATACAAACAAAATAATTTTAAGATGATTTTTAATAACAATGAGAGTCTACTATAATATATAATAATTAATATAATTTATTTAATAAATATTTTTAAGATGAACGATTTCCTGAAGAGATACGGAAAAACACGTCTAGGATTTTCAACAGGAGGTTTCATTTATGTCAAACGAGATTTTTGTATCAGAGTAAGTGTAATTTATTTTGTTTGTTTAGAATGGGAACAATGAATTTATAGCATTTTATGTGTTTAGGTTGTGAGTGGATTGTATTCAGCATTTTCTACTTGCGTGGAATTAAGTGGAATATTAGAAAAAGAAAGGAAATGTTTTACTGAATTCACCAATTCAACAAGCACAAACAGAACCATTTAAGCAAAGGTATGATATTGCATAAATTTCAAACAGAATAAAACAATGAGTTTTCTTTGCAATTCATGTAATTTCATACCTTTGTGTAGTATCTTTTTCATTTTATTCTTGCATGTAATCCATTTAAAAAATTTTTGCACTGAGTAAGTTGGCGTGTATAAGGTTTATAAATATTCACGTATATAGGTTGTAGACTAAACATGGAATTGGGCAATACAAACGCACGAATGCGTAGGTAATCGCTGGCATTCTATTCTTTCGATCCATTCTTTCATGAAGACCAAATCCTATCTCGATTAATACAAGAGATTGCAGCACAGCTTAAATTAGAAATAGTTAGAGCAATTTAGAAATATAACGGTTGTAGCTTCATACAATGGGTGGTGAGAAACATGTGGCTTTGTAAATGGTGCCATTGACTGTCATCAGCCAACAGTATAAGCAAAGACGATCTGGGGTCACAGATCTGGGGAGTACACTCTCTATATACAGAACATTCGAGTGTGGGAGTGTTAGAGATTTCTCATTATGTCTGAAGTGAAAGGTTTTATAGTGGTACTAACTTTAAGGTATTATTGCTAATTTTAATAAAGTGCGAAATTTATCAAAATGCTTTTCATTAATGCAGCAAAGGAGCCAGCTGATGGTAATAGGGAGCATACTATAGTGTCTGATTTGACACAAAGTTCTGATAGATCCGTGTAAGATATATATATACAATTTTAATAGTACAGAAAATTAACAGAAACAATTTACAGACTACCGAAACACAAAATTAAAATCATAAATGAAAATATTAAAAATGTGGTTTTTAATTATTTTTATTTTATTAATTCAAAAAATGCTACAATATCAAATCCATCAACAAACAGAATTCGCGTGTTATTTGATTATTTTAAAGAGTATATCAAGGTTAAATGTTGACATAATACAAGTGAACCCAATGATTTAAAAGTTACAAATATATTTATTGTTAATTACATTTGTCTCACGGTATTGTGGAAACGAACATTTCTGAAACTAAATACCATTTAATATATTACAGTGGCAAAATTAACGTTAATTTTATTTAGTTTTTAGAAATGTAATATTATCTATTATTACTTCTGAAATTTAACAATTCTAGCAGTTGGTCTACTTGCTGTTATAATATTATTCAATTATTGTTTATTGTGATTCTGGTTTCTTTCAATGTTTGAATATCTGTGAAGATATTTTGCTAGATGAACATGTAGACATTCACGTAACTTCACGCAGAATACTTTTTTTCAAAATGTAAAACATTTTTGTTACTCGTGTTTGTTTAAGTAGACACGCTTATGACTTTATAAGTGTGAAATGGGCCAGGCTCTCAATAGTGTAAAGCAGAGCCGATATATCTAGTATTTAAACATTCCTGTACTAATAAATCTCTTCGATTTGATCACCATTCTATATATGCACTAGCTGAAGTTATTTGAAATGTAAAATACTTGCAGTGTGGCAAACTGATTTTACACATATGATTTTACACAATGTTCATATATAAATATATAATATTGTAGCTGTTACGCCTTGGTTTATTATGTACCCAATCGCGGTAATTATTACATCGAGAGTAATTTATCGTAAACTTCAAATGTGTATTTGTTAAAATTGATTTTAAGAACATTATCAGATTGCCCATAGACTACTCGGAAGTATTTCCTAGTAAATAGCAAGTTTATAGAAAAATTATTACTATTAGTTTGGTTTATTTGGTTACTGCAATGCAAAATGTAGCCAAACATCCAAGGAGATGCTTCCTGGGAGGAATTTTATGGAAACTGGCTTCGTTTTTGGTGTTACTAACTTGAAAAAAACTAGGAAACTTGCATGTGGTTAACTGGTTGGCAATGCAATTTAAGACTAATTACCAGTATAACAGTTTCGACTTCTCACAGATGAGTACTATGTGCTACTTTTCAAAGTAATAACGCATCTACTTAGTTCAATATCATTGTCACAGTAACTATGTGTAACCTAGTAAGAATACAAAATATAACATTGTATTAGAAACAAACGAGCAATTAGCATTTACTTATTATTTTTGCCAACAGATGGTGCTAAATTCAAATCTAGCAAATTAAATGTAAACAGAAATTAACCAATATAAAAAGTAATTTGAATATTTCGAGATGGGATGTACGAAATTATCAAAGTTAGAAATTTATTAATGTAACTACCAAGTTTCCTAGCAATTGGTCGAACGGTCCGGGAGTGTATAGCGAACAAACAAACATCTCCATTTATAAATATAAATAAAATAATATACAGTTGAACCTGTGTATCTCTAATCACACGGGAACGAGGAAAAATTTCCACACAGTTTTCGAGATACAAAGGTACGTACACAGTAAACAGGTTGAATTGGAAATACAGTACGTGGTATTTTATTGATACAATAGCAAGTACAGTACATATTATAAGTATAGTATTAGGTATAATTACAAGTACTGTATTATGTATATATAAAACAGCTTCAACTATATAAATATTTGTGAACTTAACTCACTCAAATCTTTCAATTCGTTCAATCTTTTTTGAAATAATCATATATAGAAGTTGCTCGATTTTTTTTCATCACTCTAGACTAAATTTCACGTAATAAAAATTGTCATATTAGAAACTAGTTTACATAATTCAACAAATCGTGTAATCCAAACTGTATTATTTTTATTGGAAAGATCACGTTTCACGTAACGATCAATACTAATTACAATAAGTGTGGTATCAATGTAACACAAAACTATTAAGTACAGTAAACCTCTACTTTGCACTCACAATGGTTTTTGACAAAAATGGTCAGTATTAGTTGGATTGTCTTAGAGATATGTTTTCTTTGTACTTTGTAGAAATAAAATATATTGCAAGATGTTATCGTTTTTCTTTTCCCATTATCTGTGCTCACAATAAAATTTGCAATCTTTAGGTTTACAGACCACCTAAATTCAAAAAAGTAATAAAACAGAAAACATTTCTGTAGCTATGTACGTGGTGTGCGGGATTGTATCTTTTTCGTTTAATATCTCAAAACGGAGTGAAGATGAAGTAACGAAATTTGGCACGGCAGCTTATGTATAAGGGACACTGATGTAATTGAATTTTGGTGATGAACGGTCGAAATAGTGGGGAGATAGAGAAGGGTTATATGTCATGTGTTGAGTGAAGTTGGACTTAATGACATTATATCAATATTTCATTAGTATTTAATATTTACAATTTTTAAAGCAACTGTTTATTATCCTTCAAATTAAACATTTTGCCATTTTATAGTAATTAAATATATCAAAAGTAAACAAACCTAGTAACAGATGGCGCCACACACAAGTTTATTTATTTTACTTAATAATATAAAAGTTATTTTTTTAAAATAAATACTCATAATAGCCGGAAATGTTACCTAACTGTCGTTTTTAGGTTTTTTCTTCTTATTCCGAATATTAACAATTCCCTGATGACTGTATCCATAGATTTAGAATCTGTGAATAAAAGAGGTCAACTGTACAGAATGACGTGAATAGTTTATCCAAGTATTTAATTTCATAGTTAAAGTAATTTTATTAAAACTGCCATTTATTATTTGAAATTTGCATATTCAAAATTTAAAGTCATACAGATATAAGTATATAAATAAAAGTATTTTCAATTTTAAAACATTTTTCATATTAAAAGGTATGTTGTTTTTTTATTAACCTATTATGGTAATTGCCCATCATTGGTTTTATATTTAAGGCAGTTGGCTTGGGTATAAAACTGTCAAAATATGAAATAATCGAGAGATCATGCTTGTTGATCAATGGATTAATGACATTGCGGTTTCAGGAATTAGTTTCTTACTGAAGGTCCTCTCCAGTCTTTCACTGATCACTCGAGTTTTGTGTTGGATCATCGTATCAATTAATCCAACGTGTAGCCTTTATTCAGATATTTGATAAATTAATAAATTACAATATTCCAAAAATCATTTACTATGCGTAATAATTAGATATTCACAAACTAGTTAAGAGCCAATTTCGTAAGTACAGGAAATAATATTATATTTATGATATGTTTAATATATTTTAATTTATATGAAGTGGAAATAATTTATTATTTTCTATCTCGACTATAACATATAATATTAAAATGCTTCAAAACTTTTGCACGCAGAGCTGAAATTAGGTTCGTTTTAATCAATTAGAATTCATTAAAACGAACGTAATTTCAGCTTTGCGTGCAAAAGTTTTGAAGCGTTTTAATATGTACAGTTCGGCCGAATGAAGGCATGCACCTGTCTATTATCGATAAGCGCCGCCGTATTTTCAGGACACGCCACCTGTTATCAGTGTTTTGAGATGGACCATTCCGATCCGTGAGGAAATCGGGATGAGGCACTTGGTCAATAGGGGCATTTAAGCGGTATCACGTGACTGTTTTAATCGACAAAACTAATCGATGATAACTTATCTATCCCTGCTTATATAGCGTGAGAATTTTTAAGTTGTAAAGTTGTAAATCGTAATTTTTTCATAAATGATTACCGTTACGGTAATCATTTATGAAAAAATTACGATTATATCTTTTATTTCAATCAGTTTTCTCCCTTTCAACGTCTTTTTGCAAACTTGTCTATTTGTCTCATATTTGTTCTTTAGACTAAAATCATGAATATTATACGAGACATTTTATATTTGAAATAATATGTTTACTCTTTAAAATATTAAATAATGATATAACAACACAAACACATATGCGAAATTATTGTATTGTATATATTAGTCTTTTTATTTATATCATTGCAATATTTGGATTTCAACCACTTCGTATACATTGTATACAAATAGAGGTCTGTCATGGTAATCGTCTCTAAGACGGACATTCAATGGGAGACTAATCTCCAGTGTTAGAACAGTTAAGAAATCATTGTAAACTTTATTCGGTCAGCACATTTTTCAGGAGAATTGATAAAACTGTACAAACCTGTCCGCTGAATGAAATCTTTG